TCATGTGTATATGCTCTTTGGCTACTCTATTTCCTATACTGTACCTTACATCCCCATGGCTATTGTGTAACTACCTATTTGTACTTCTTAATCCCCTCATCTCTTTACCCATTCCCCCACACCCTCCTCCCACATAGCATCCATCAAAATGTTCTCCATATCCACAATTCTGTCTCTGTTCTTTTTGTTTGCTTTGTTTTTTAGATTCAATTATTGATAGATATATATTTATTGCCATTTTATTGTTTTGATCTTTGTTTTCTTAAATAAGTCCCTTTAACATTTCATATAATAATGGTTTAGTTGTTTTTGTCTGGGAAGCTCTTTATGTGCCCTTCAATTCTAAATGAAGCTTTGCTGGGTAGAGCAATCTTGGATGTAGGTCCCTGTTTTTCATGACTGAATATTTCTTGCCAACTCTTCAAGCCTACAAAGTTTCTTTTGAGAAATCAGCTGACAGTCTTATGGAAACTACCCTGTAGGTAACTAACTTCTTTTCTCTTGCTGCTTTTAAGAGTATCTCTTTATCTTTAACCTTTGGCATTTTAATTATGATGCATCTTGGTGTGGGCCTCTTTGTGTCCATCTTGAGACTCTGTGCTTCCTGGATGTACAGTTCTATTTCCTTCTCCAAATCAGGGAAATTTTCTTTCATAATTTTTTCAAATAGATTTCCAATTCATTACTCTTTCTCTTCTCCTTCTGGTACCCCTCTGATGCAAATGTTGGAATGCTTAAAGTTGTCCCAGAGGCAGCTTACGCTATCCTTGTTTTTTTTTATTCTTCTTATTTATTGTTGTTCTGATTAGTTGTTGTTTTGCTTCCTTGTGTTCCAAATCATTTATTTGATTCTTGGCTTCATTTACTCTACTGTTGTTTCCCTGTAAATTGTTCTTTATTTTAATTAGTGTATCCTTTGTTTCTGACTGGATCTTTTTTATGCTGTTGAAGTCCTTACTAATTTCCTTGAGCATTTTTATAATCAGTGTTTTGAGCTCTGCATCTGATAGGTTGCTTATCTCCATTACATTTAGTTCTTTTTTCTGGAGTTTTGATCTGTTCTTTCCTTTGGGCCATGTTTCTTTGCTCATTTGGCTCATACAGCCTCCCTGTATTTGTTTCTATGTATTAGGTAGAGCTGCTATGACTCCCTGTTTTAGTAGCATGGCCTAATGTAGTAGGTGTCCTGTAGAGTCCAGTGCCACAGCCACCGCTATCATCCAAGCTTGGTACTCAAGGTGTGCCATTTGTATTGGCTGAGTACACCCTCCTCTTATAGTTGAGCTGTGGTTGCTATTGGCAGGTCAATGGGAAAGATTTACCCAGGCCAGTCGGCTGCAAGGGTTGGCTGTAACCACTGACCACCAACCTCCGCCTCTGTGGAGGACCAGCTATGCTGAGGCAGGGTGGTGGTGCTCTGACATGTTCTGTAGCTGTCCACTGGGTGCACTGGCCCTGGGGTTTCCTGGGTGGTGTAGGCAAAGTTCAACCCCCACCTGGGTTCTGCCTGAGGCCACCCTGTCTGAGCGATAGAGCAATCTGAGATGGTTGCTACTTATGCTGGGCTTAGAGATTCCCAGGCAAAGCCAACCTGTGAATCCAGGCTGGCTGCTGTTAATGCTGGACCTGGGGCCACTTAGCAAGAGTAATGAGGGCTGGGGGCCCACTGAGATTGGCTGTCATTTGTTTCAGAGGATTTAGGAAGTTATGAAGCATCAGCCAAGAGCATTCATATGGAAAAGCCACTATTAACAGCTGTAAATTGGGTGGGATGGAGTTTCAGGAGATCCATGGTGTGGCAAACAGTGTGAGCCAGGTTGATGGAATCTCAGATATGTCACCTACCTGCTGGCTCTGTGGCTCTGTTGGGGGAGAGCTCAGAAAAGGGAAAGTGGCTTCTACCAGCCTTTTGGTCTAGTAGAAAGCTGTCCCCCATCTCTTGTCTTGATGCCAGACACATTAGTTCCTCCCTGTATGTCACTGGTGCCCTTCAAGCTGCTACCCTGGTGCTGGAGCTTAGAGGGAGTGAGTCTGAGTAAGTCCTTTGTGTGGGTTCTTTAAGGGCAGCTGCTTGGGACTCCTGAAGTTTCTTCTATCAACCCAATCCCCACTGGTTTTTGCAGCCAGAGGTTGTGGGAATGTATCTTCCTGGGACTGGAACCTTGGGCTGGGGGGCCTAGTGTGAGACTGGGACTCCTTGCTCCTGAGATATCCCTTCCAAATTTTTATCCACCACATGCAGATGCGGGACCAGCCCATTCCTCATCTCTACCCCTCCTACCAGTCTGGATGAATGTGGTTTCTTTAATTCCATAGTTGTCAGGCTTCTATTCAACTTGATTTCTGAAGATTCTGAATAATGGTACTATAATGTAGTTCTAACTTTAATGTGGTTATTTGAGGAGGTGAGCCATGTTTATCTATGCTGCCATCTTGGTGTATATCTTTTTAAACAGCTTTCTACAAAGATAAACACAATATTAAATTGCTACAGTGATATTATACATGCTGTCCTGCAACCTGACCACAGAGGTACCATGTTCAATTTAACCAGCCGTATAAGTGATGAACATTTTCTAGCTGTAGTAAATACCTCTAAGATGCAAGTCCTTGCGTATACATTCATTCACACTTTATCAATAAAGTACATCCTAAAACAATTTGTTATGAGTAGAATGTCTAGCAAAGAGTACATAGATTTAAAATTTTAAGCCATATGAACAGAATACATTCCAGGAATATACGAATTTACTTTCTCATTGATGACCACTCATTGTTTTCTTACAGCCTTTCCAATATTTGATATTGTCAACATATATTTTTTTAAATTTGCTATTGGCATTTTCTAGTTGTCAGTTGCCTGATGACCCCTCTTAATAAGTTTTTAATAGAAGTATGCTTCTTATCTTTTAGAGCTAATTATATATTGGGGATATTAAGTTGTTATGTATGGTGAGAACTTTTTCCTAGCTTATCATTGCTTTTTAATTTTACTTCAAGTATGAAGGTTTTTTTTCGCCATAGGTGTATTCTAATATTCGAAGTAGTTACCAGTGCTTTCTGGACATTATGGCATACTTAAAAAGATGTTCCCCACCATATTTAAACAGGATGGGGAGAGGGTAAACAAAAGAAGATGCAAGGGTAGGCATTTTACATTTTATGAAAGTAGGAAAAAACAGCAACTCAATTTATACCCAAATTAAATCACAACCAAACAAACAATAACAAAAGAAAAAGTCTGAACCTATCTGGTTAAGGAGAATTGAGTCATATAAATTTTGAAACTTTTTATCTATTCTGGGATGGGATACCATCAATACAGGGAGCTATGCTTTCACTGTTTCAAAAAATATTTAAGTACTAGGGATTGTGCTAGGTTTTGGCTCAGAGAAAAAAAAGATAATGAACCCAAAAATAAAGTAAAATTGCCCCTGCTCACAAAGAGCTCATAGACTATAATAGTCGTGTTTGTACGAGGAACTTAGGAAGACTGGATCCTCCTTCCTTCTTCATCCTGTCTTATCCTACTTCAAAACTGTAAGAAAAACAATTGGTAAATGCTAAAGATCCCTATTTCCTGAAAAAGTATTTCTTGTGATTTTAAGAAAACATACTGTTTAAGGGATCCCCAGCCTCCCTTCTTCTGCATCTGTATTCATGACCGCCTCCCTGCAAGGAGACACCGATGCCTTTGAGGCACTGACTGGCTGCAATAACAACCTGTAATCATGTTTTATGCCAGGAAAGTGTTTTCAAAACATCTGCACTATTTAACCAGCCAAGACATTTCGTGAAAAGTATCTGTGAACGCCTCCATCAGGAGGTACTCATTCTTTTGAAGTAATGGTTGAAAATATTTGAAAATATTTGATCATCTTAACTCTGTGTGTGTGTTTTGAATGAATGTGCACAACTGTGCATATGCTTACATGTAACACTGGAACTTTACATACAGTTATGTTTTTAATTATAATTTAATCCATTTACTGCCATTGATTTTGTAAGGAAGAATGGAAGACAAAGGTAGGAGCTAAGATCTGCTTTTTAATGAGAAATAATAATTTACTTCCCTCATTAAGGCTCTTATTGTTTTCATAAGATTTTTAAATTATATAAATTTTATTTTTGAGTTTTAACAAAAAGCCTATGAAATTAACATCAATATTTTCATTTTACATAATGAACAAAATGTGACTCTGTGTGATTAGGTGATTAAAGATCCTCAGTTAGTAAATATCAAAGATGAAAAGATTAAAGCAAAACTCAAGGTCATTGCTTTTTGCACCACACTGCAGCAACCCCAGTGCTAATAGCATTCATGAGTTAGTACCCAATTATCTATGGATCAATCTAATGAGACCCTAGCAAATCACCATGGGCCTTTCTTGCAGACTCTAAGCTCCCTTTTTTATCACACTTGCCTCAGCACATGTGTAGGAGCAACATGGGGTTTGGAGTCAAATTCAACCCTGGGTTTGAATTCCAGCTCGGCCCCTTATTAGCTGTGCATATTTGGACCTAATTCTGCCTTGTCTTCACCTAGGAACATTGGCAGTGATAATGCTGAGAGCTGAAATTTTTATGATATCTCTGGCACATAGTAAATGCTCAAGAATCACCCACAATGGCATTACCTGGACTCTCCTAGGATGGCATCAAGAGATACAAAATGATTTGGGGAATGTAGGGTTATGGGTAATGGAGGCCTGGACAAAATGGCCAATAAGTGCCCATTCTGAGAGGTGTTAACCCACCTGCAAAGAATTGGTATTCAGCTATAGTTAGATTCATCTCTTTTTATCTCTGATCCTCATATTCCCGTATGTCCCAGGAGGGATTGTATTAAGAAAGAAAAATTGGGGGCCTGAGAACATGGGAGAAATGTAGGAATGGCATTATTGAACCTTTTTGCAATGCTCAAAATGGATTTTCCTAATTCTTTTTTTCCCACCTTTTATAGCTGATGGCGTCTGTGTCTTTAAATGCTTACTCAACAGAGACACCGAATGCTGCCGTGTGGGGAAGGAGTCCATCTTGATTGCTCTGGGGTACAACAGCGCTCTGCTAAAGTTTGAGTCTCATGCTGGTAAGTTTTGTCATGACCCTGTCTTCTCTGAAAATGAATCTCCTGATTCATTGACTTCTCACTGTTACTGATTGGTTGGCTTTCAGCCACATGTTTCCTGATGTGAATTGTCATGATTGAAATGATGATTTAAAACTGATTCTGGTGCTTACCTGATATTGAGGCTAGAGAACACTCGGCCTTTTCCTAGACTATGAGAAAACATCCTTATCCTTAGCCCCCCTTTTAGTCCTCCATCCAGAGATGCAGGAGAGCCCACCAAAGATTGTCCAGCTCTTCACCACTGTTGTCAACTCCCCTCAGAGATGAGGTTGTTTGCAGAAATGTGAGTTTTAGTTTCAGTGTCAATCAGAGTGACTTTTTCCTTGTCTTTGGGTCTTTGAATCACTGGTTGAACATTTTTATATTCTGGACAACAAATGCCAAGCCGTAGGAAGGTAAACTAAAGTGTAACTAGAACCATTGTAAGAAAGAACTACAAGGCGCTCTGGAAGGTTTCCAGCCTGATAACAATAATTAGGACTAACAATGCCGTGGGTCTGCCTTCGATGCTCAGTGGTCATTTCTTTAACTTATACATAAATTGTTCCATCTTATGGTGTTAATGCAGTCAATGAAAAGTATAGCAATGGTACCTATTCTCCTCTGGGTAGTTAGGATGTCCAAAATGGTTTCATTATGGTAACTACTTGAGGTAAAAGAAGTTAGCCTGGTTTCTTGTTTCTACACTGACTCAGAGTCAGCCAGGATGTGGAAGTTGTTTTATGATATACCTATTCATCTATTCATCTATCAATCCATCTTATTTTTATGGCACATTTCAGAGTAAATTATGGTATCCACCACATTTCATCCCCTTATATAATACTTTAATCTGCATATCATTAAATAGACCTTACATTATGTTTACGCTTCTCAGTTTTTCTACCATGGTTAAATTTACATGCATTAAACTACACAAATCTTAGAGAATGCCAGCATTCCTAAAAGTTACCTTATGTTTTTTCCCAGTTGCTACTTATTCTCATCCTTCTAGAGATAAGCACTGTTTTTATTTTTTTTCCCTTTTGTGAATTAACTTTGTATTTTCTAGAACTTTCTGTAAATGAAATCATTCAGTATATACTGTAATCCATGTTGTTGCAGGTAGCAGTAGTTCTTTATTGCTAAGCAGTAGTCACAGTTTGTCCATTCTCATTTTGATAGACATTGAAACTCTTTCCACATTTGGGCTTTGAGCAATAAAGCTGCTATAAGTATTCTCATACCAATCTTTTTTTTCCAAAGTGATTGTACCATTTTACACTCCCATCACTAATGGACAAGAGTTCTGGTTGTACCACATCTTTGCCAACATTTGGTCTTTCAGTCTTCAGTTTCTACCACGCTGATGGTTTCATCCTATCTCATAGTGTTTTTAATTTAAATTTTGCTGATGACTAATGATGTTAAGCACTTTTTCATGTACTTATGAATTAAAATTGGTTGGCTGTTACTAATTGGTTGCCTATCTATGGAGTTGTTATTTTCTATGTATGAGACCAGTTGTGTATCAGATAAATAATTTATGGATGTTACTGTCTAGTTTGTAGCTTTCTTATTTATTTCCATAATGATATCTTATGTTAAGCAGTTTTAAAATTGAATGAAGTCTAGTTTACCATTTTTTCCTTTTTGTTTATTGCATTCTGTGTCCTGAGAGCACTTTGCCTGCCCTCAAATAGCAAATTATTTTTTCCTATATTTCCTTCTAGAAGGTTTATAGCTTTATATTTTTGGAATATAATCCATCTTATTTTTATGTGGTATGAAGTATGGGGCTAGAGGTTATTTGTAGACCATGTGAATAGACAGTTATTCTAGCAGTGTTTGTTGAAAAGACTTTTGCAAGTCAAAGGACTGTCTACAGACTTAGTCTATGTTGGAGCTCTCTACTCTGTTCATTGATTACCCTTGTGCTAATCACATGGTCTGAATTACCTTTAAAGTAACCATTGAAGTCTGATAGTTTGCCTTCCAACTTTGTTCTTCTTTATCAAGATTGTTCTGGATATTTTTTATACTTTGCATTTCCATATAACTTTTAAAATTAAGTTGTCACTTTCTACAAAAGTGCTTCGTCTACTTATGCTTCAGATTGATCAGCTTGGTGAGAATTGTCATTGTAACAATATTAAGACTTTCAGTCATTGGTGAGCTGAAGACAGTGCATACTAAATTACAGGTGCCCTTATTAAAGTTTCAGAAATTTGGTAGTTTGAAATTAGTGAGCTTGAGAGAATTTACACCACAGAATTTGCCAACTTCATAAACAGGGATCTCTCTTGTTTTGTGGGGGCAACCAATTGTTAAATTTTTGCCAACATCCCATTGCTTCTAGTTAAGGAATAGAATATTTCTCTTCATTTATTTAGGTCTTTGATTTTTCCACAGAAATGTTTTATATATTCAGTGTGGGAGTCATACACAATTTTTGACAAATTTATCCCTCAATGTTTTGTTTTTGAACCTATTATAAATAAAATTTTGGAAACACACAATTGCCTGCCACAAGTATATAATAAATTAATTTTCAATATTAATCTTGGATACTACAATCCTTTAAATTCACTTACTAGTTTGGTAGTTATAGTTTAGATTCCTCAGCATTTTTCTACACTTTAAAAAAGGTGTCACCTACAAACAGAGACAGCTTTAATTCTTATCTTGATATGCCTTTTATGTTTTTTCTTGACTTTTTGAAATTCTTATGACCTCTAGTACAGTGTTGACTAGACCTGAGAGAGCAGTTGTCCCTGACATTCTCCTGATTGTAGGGGGAAGGTCACCAGTAAGTGTGATGCTTGTTATATGTTTTTTGTGGGTGCCCTTTATCAGATTGGGCAAGTTTACCTCTTAGGTTGCTGGATGTGTTTTATCATAATTGGGCATTAAATTTTCTTATTTTTCTGGCTTTATTGAATTCACATTCTATGAATTTGGTGAAATGCTTATTATAAAATAGTTTGTGGTAGAACTGGTATTATTTCTCCACTAAATGTTTGATGAAATTCACCCATGAATCATTAAGGCTTGAAGTTTTATCAATGGGAATAATAAAACAGATATAGAAATCTTCAGATTTTCTTTCTTGTGTCAATCTTATATTTTATATTCTTTCACAGAATTTTTTCATTTCATCTAAGATGTCAGATTTAGTGGCATTTTTTCATAATTTGCATGTTTCTTTTAATTTTGCAATTCTGTAATAATATCTCCTGTTTCTTTTTTAATATTGTTTTTGATGTTTTCTCTTTTCTTTCTTGATCAGCCTAGTCAGAGGTGTATCAATTTTATCAGTGTTTTCAACTTTTGGTTGCACTATTTTCTCTATTGTCTATCTATTTTCCATTTCACTGATTTCTTTAAGAAATGGAAAATTGGGAGGAACTATGTAATGGGACATAACTAAGCTAAGAGCAAAATGCTATTTTTACTTTTTATTATAATCATTTAACCTATTGTCTCATCTAACACACCATGCACTTGAGGAAAAATTTAATTGGATCATCTTACTGATGAGAAAACAGATTTCAAGAAAATCAGTTACTTTTTCAAGGTACTATGACTGATATTAACTGATGAAGGATTCACGTCCACAGCTAACTGGCTCTGCCCATATCACCACACATCCTCCTGGGTAAGACACGCTCAGTTTTAAGAAAGAAATAGCCAGTGAAAGAACAAGGAGTGGCTGTGCAGGATATAGATGAATAGAAAACCTTCCTTCTAATGTGTTCACATGTGGAACACTTAGTGTTCAAGGAAGTCACAATGATTAAATAGAATGTGTATTTCCATAGTGTCCATGTTTCAGGCCTAGGGCACTGTTCAGTTGGTAGCTAGAGACTAAACAGATCTGAGCATTTTACTTTTTAGGGACTTTCAAATTGGACTGGCTTCTTTTTCTGAACAAAAACCTTTGTTTGAGTCTTAAATTGCAGTGCAGTAGACGACGTGCAAAGATAATGGGATATGTTTCACTCCCTATCACAATCAGTGGCCTCACACTCACTGCTTGTACTGCTTCCAGCCCCTACTTGAGAGAATCTTAAATAGCCTGGATAGTCATGAGGCCCAGAACCAACATGACTCTCTCAGTGTTGGGGTCAATGACAGGAGTCTATTGATCTGGCACAAAGGCTCTGTAAGTAGTATCTGATGCCTTCTCTGACAAGGAGAGTGGACTGACCCTTTTCATTACATTCCTTGATGCAGAGATGTTGCCCACAATAATGAAATGTGGATTCAAATGACTGAGGTTCTACTTAGTTGTTTATACCAATCAAAAAAGCAAGAAGGAAAATTTCTAAGCAGGGAGCTCATATGTAGACTAACTCTGATATAATTCTTTAACGGTTCATTGTGTAACCTGTGTTTCATGAATATACACGAACACTTTGGCCCATGTTGCTTTAGAACCCTGGCTATAATTGATTAGTTTCATTTGTTCTGTAGGAAGAAAAAATAATACCAAGAATTTCAGTCTTAAGAATTTTCCCTAGAGTGCCTTAAAACTCCTTCCTATTCTGGAGTTCATGTGTTTCTTGGTTTCTACTAAGAGTAAATCCCAGCACCAAATGGATTAGAAGTATAGATTTTTGCAAATTAATGGTCCCCCTTAGTTTACTTTAATAATAGTTTTCAAAATCAATGACTACCCCTGGGGAATTGGGGTAGCTGATTGCCTGTCTGACTTTCCTGTCCCCGGACACTGAACAAGCCAAGCAGCTGATCCCTCATTCTCAATCTGTCAAGGAGGCTTGGGATGCAAAGGACCGGAATCCACAGCTGCAAGCAAGTAGTGTGGCAAGTGAGGAGCAAGGTGGCTGTGACTCAGTGGGTCCCAGATGGCCCAGTTCCCAGGTGGCAATGAGATCTTAATTGTCATTTGTCATCCTGGGTGTTGACAGAAAGCTGTCTAGTGGTGTCACTGTCCATCAGACACGATTGTTAAATTT